GCTTTTCACTGGATTTTAATCCGATTTGCTGCTCAATGCTCATTGATGATTTAATCCAAAAATGGATAATCGAGACTATGTTTTTTATTGTTCGACATTAATAATGATGATCGAGGCTAGGCCTAAAATTCAAACGCTAATATCTTGGTTCAGAGTGTAGTAATTTGACTGACATTTTATGCATATTCCCTCTACATTATCTATTTTTAACTATTATAGTGCGACCTGTCAACTTGTTATCTAATCTTCCATAATGGCCCTTTAACAAAATCGTGTTAAAATCACCCTATATTTAGCTTTAGATAATTAGGTGAATCTAAAGTTAAAGATACATTATGTAAGATTTAGATAAAGATCTAGCCATTCTTGCTATAATAGTTCGAAAGTAGATGATGTAAAATGAATAATTTGAAAATTTCATTCAAATTACTCTATTGCAAGCAAAGATATTAGCCTTTGAAGGTTTGACAGACGTGTGCAATAATTTCAACCACCGTACTGGTTGATCGAAGCTAAGTCTTGGTGCTCCATATTTGATTAAATCAAAGTATCGCTGAACCATTCTAATCTATTTAATATCGGAGAAATCTGATGCCATCGAGTGTTGATTAAGGCCTGGATCAATTAATTAATGTCTAATTAATACTTTAGAAAACATTTCAGGCCTAAAGAAAGACCTGCAATAGGCAGATTTAGCTCTTGCATAATGCATGTTTAATTTTAAAATGATATTATTCAAAATTGATTAATTTTACATGTATTCTGTTGGTATGAGTCATAATGCCTCTTGATTGAAGTACAATGTAGATGATACAGGACAAGTTAAACATCCTGTATAATGACAAGTGAATATTATGAAGGATTGCAGGTCACTATAGTTCAGAATGTGGGATGCACATTAATTATCTCAACATTTGTTTTTCTATTCCAAGGGGGGTTGGGTGGCTGAATGGTTCGGGCATGTGTGTTATATCATAAGGTCTGTCATTGAGTCAACTGACGTAGTTTCGATTTCCCGGTTGTACGTGACAAGGAGTAGGGTCGCCTGTCCAACATCATGGGTTTCTCCAGGTCCTCCGGTTTCCTTCTACTGCTAAAGTCCCCTACGCCGAGCAAATTATTGAAATAAAATTGAACTATATGTTAGTCCCAAAATGACCTACATGTAGTTTGTGTGGAGTGGACATTAAACCCTCTCTCTCTCTCTCTCTCTCTCTCTCTCTCTCTCTCTCTCTCTCTCTTTTATTCAAAATCATTGATTTGACTAATTCTTCATTTCCATCAACTTTCATTTATGTTCACAGTTTTCAAGCAAAACAGCTAACCTTTGTCCTTATGCTCCAATTAACAGTCCCATCAAGTTTAGATCAACTATTGTATTGGCGAATTTTAGTGTTTTAGATATTATCGGGAAGATATTTCAGTGATTTGCCATCAGTGGTTTGCCATCATTGGTATGACAGGATGAACAATACAATAAACTATAACACATACTTATGGAAGAACAATTACTGATTTATTTGGGCAACGTTTCGAAGAGTATTCTCTCAACGTTTTCAAGCAAGTACAGTAACAAGTGTGTAGAGCAATTATATATAGACAAGCAATAACAACAATTCAGAAACCATGCATGACAACAACAAGATCAAAGGATTAAAAAACAACATGATCAAAGGCAATATACATATGACGGATTATAGGGGTAAATAATTTTAATTGGACAACCAATCATGACAAATGAGAAACCATACATGATGTGATTGGCTAGGTGAGGGTACATCAAGGGAATAATAAAGGACTGATAATAGGGGTAAACATACCATTAAACCAAACAAAAGGGAAGCCATACATGTTACGAAAACATCAGAGGAGTAGTGAGCTACATAGGGATTAAATGGTTAAGCCATATTTAAATGAATTACAAAATATTAGTATTAAAATGCACACAACATAGCACAACTAATGATAGTCCAACATTCTTCCTTCCGACAGACTCACAGATACATTTATTCCTAGGATAAGTACAAGAGACACTTAACTGTTTACAAAGGATAATTACATAAATGACCATAAATAAGTGGTAAATTATAATATTGGAAAGCCACACCACAGTCCTATCCACAGGCTTCTAAGTAATTATGTCCTGCACACTCCTTCCCATTTGACACACATACTTATTAAAATTAGTTCTACAAATGGATAACGAGAATAAACAAGTAATACACATGATACGCGAACTGAGTAACTTAAGCACGTATGGAAGTCTAAGCATGTACACATTAGTTAAGAATTAGTTCATCATAGGCTCTTGGGAGAAATATTCCTGTGTCGCAATTGAGGTCTGGTTTGGATCTCCTGATGTGTATTGCTTCCATGATTTTCCGCGTCTTTTCGTTGTGTTGGTTGAGGCCTAGGGTCTTAGACGACTGGATTTTGTGGCCTGGATTGGACTGGAGGTGCTGGGCAACTGCTGATTCTGCTGTGGGGGACCTTGAGTTATGCTGGGCGAGTCTTTTAGGTAGGGGTTGTCGAGTTTCACCAATGTATGTCATATCACATGAGCACATAACTTCATAGACACATCCTTTAGGTGGCAGTGGAATGGTGGGTTGCAGTTTACCATTCGCTTTCAGGTGGTCTTTAAGCGTGCGTCCTTTGGAAAAAATGACTTGGATGCCTGTCGTTGCGAGTAGCCTTCGGATGTGGTACGATAACGTTCCTTGAAACGGGATGGTTATCCGTATGGGTGGTTTATCTGGCTTGGGCTGTTCAGCAACGGTTTTCTTTTTTGTTTCTTTTATGGTATTCTTGACTAACTGGGGCGGATATCCGTTCAAATTAGAGAGTATGCTTTCTATATGATGAACAATACCTGCAAATTTAAAAGGAATCTATCATTAACCTGGGTCTAGAAAGATACCAGTCAATAACCAATCTGATTAGAATACAGATCTATATTTCATTTTGTTTTTTTATACTTTCGATGGCCTACACTACATGAAGATCTGAACATTTGTACTGGGAGTTCGCATCTGGGGTCATACGAGCGGCTTTAGACCCTATGACGTCAGACATTGATTAATCAATCAGCGTTGACGTTTCTAGGGGCTTACCCACCGTTCCATGCAGAATTCGTCAAGAACTCGCCATAACAGACCGTTTCATTGACTAATTCCTCACATCAACTAGAACGCATGTTATATAACAACTTTTCCAGATCCTAGTGTAGTGAAGACAAGTAAAACGAAGTTTTGAACTATAAAAACAAAACGAAATAGGATCTGTGTTTTAATGAGACTGTAAATAAACATTTTACAAGAATTTCTAATTATTACTTGTACACGTAGGATATTTCCTTTCACGACTTGGCTGAATCTTGGAGATTGATGCTATGCTCCAGATTTAACATTTGTATACTGCGTGATGTAATACAATATCATTTGGGATCTAAATTTTATTATTGTATTTTGAATTCATATTTTAAATTATATTTTTCATTTGTAACTCATTTTGGACATGTGACAGATTAATTGTAAAATGTAATCTGCATCAGGTGTGTGAGGGTTATTTCATAGTATTATGTAAGATAGGTTTAGGTAACAAGCATTAAAACATATTGTCTAGAGATAAGCTGTCTGAATCTTAATAATTACTTTTCATTGTTCTGATTACTAATGGTATTAACTATGGCGTGCCTTAACCGATATAAAAAGCCTAGTTTACAAGCAGGCAAGAAGTACAGAGGAGGGACAAGAGAGATCCGTAGAGGCTGAGAGGTCTCCTGGACCTCGGGAGAGGGTCTGCCCTCGACACCGGGCAGAGGGGTCCTGTGAGGCCGAGGAGAAGCAGCTATAGCTAGACGATACGATACCCAACCAAATGATGTTCATATGTACCTGTAAATATGTTAACCAGTATTAAAATATCTTTTTAATAAATAAGAGTTATGTATTCTATCACAGTGAGTCGTACATATATCTTGCATGTCATCCACATGTTTTGTTATTCAATAGTTAGTATTCAGTCAGGGGCCTGTTTCATGAAATTTTAACCAAGATAAAATCCAAATTTTAGTAATTTGATTGGATAATATTGGATAAAGTATCTACTAAAATTTGGATTTTATCTTTAGTTAAGATTTCGAGAAACAGGGCCCTGAACAATATTGATTATTAAGTTTCATTTGCTTGGCCAAAACTGCAAACTTTGATTTTTTAAGCATACATTATGCAAGAGCTACATGTAAATCTGTCTATTGCAAGTCTTTATTTAGGCTTCAGATGTTATAGAAATTATTAATTAGACCTTTATTTATATGACAAGCTCAAAATCAACTCTGTAGACCCTCGGATGGCGTGGATACAACTTGGATTTAAACAGTCGTCCATTTAAAATTATATCAAGAAATGGCCGACCAAGCTAACGTTTACCGTTAGTCACTGACCTGACTACCGGAAAGTGGTGATGAAAGGCCTAGCAAGCGAGGGTACCATAGCTATTGAGAATGTTACTTGATAATCGGGAATATGTGGGTCGAGTTATCGTCTGTCAATCAAACGATCGGCAATTCTCGTAGCTGGTACCGGTACGGACACATTTGATGCCTATTTCTAGTGCAAACTTCCACCAGTGACAACTCCGTTCAGAATAAAAGTAATTTGACTGAAATTTTCAATATTTTCTTTTTTTTATCATTTATTTTTGAATTATTATAGAAAGAATGACCAACTCTTTATCAAATATACTTTATGCAAGAGCTAAATCTGCCCAGCCATATTTTGATTTAAGCTAAAAATGGAGGAGCGAGACTTAGCTTCGAACAACCAGTACGGTGGTTGAAATTATTGCACACGTCTTGCCAAACCTTCAAAGGCTAATATCTTCGCTCGCAATAGAGTAATTTGAATGAAATTTCCAAATTATTCATTTTACATTATCTGTTATTAATAATAACAAGATTGCTTAAAAGTTTTATTTTGTGTTTGTTTTTTTTATTACAGTTTTTGTCATCATGGTGGAACGGATTTGGTTTTGGCTTTTGCTAGTTGCTGTTTGCATACCTTTCATTAAGTGTTCAGAAGGTCACCATGATAACGTCTCTAATTCTGATGCCAATTCCAGTAGTCATGGCAACACATCTTCTCATCAAGGTGGTCATGGAATCCATATTGTTGTCTGGAACATACATGCCGTAAAAGAACCATTAATTTTCACTGTTGTTGTCTTGCTGGCATTTTTTAGCAAGCTAGGTAGGTTAAATCACATTAATCTGACCTTCTATATTGTCTGGTATGACATGGTGTATGCATAGGGGCATATATATACGGATATATATACGGATACAGATACACAAGTTATAGATACAGTAGATAAAATTCGTTTTACATGTAGATGTGCTACAGGGTGGTTGGATGGTTAGTGTGTGCGCATTGTATCATAAGGTCTATCACTGAATCAGTTGGCGTGGTTTCGATTCCCCGCTTGTACGTGACAAGAAAGGGGGACGCCTGTCCAACCTCGTGGGTTTTTTTTCCGGGTCCTCCAGTTTCCTTCCACTGCTGAAGACCCCTACGCGCAAGCGAATTATTGAAATAAAATTGAACCATGTGTTAGTCCCGAAATGACCTAGTTTGTGTCGAATGGACATTAAACTAAACACCATTTCTCTCCCACTCTCTTATATGTGCTACATTCAATGTCCTAATTGGGGCATTTACAGATGGGTTGAACATGAGCAGAGGATGGAATCCAGACAATGGCTTTTACATACATGGTTTATCGAGAGAAAATAGAATGAAACTCTGAAACATCAATTTTGATATAAATTACAACTATTTATTATATAATTATAAATCTCAATAATAACAATAATAATAATAAAAACTTTATTTAATGAGGCAACGTATTTAGTTTGCAAAAAAACAAAAAAACTAATCTTCCATAGGTCCCTCCTAAGCAATGAAAGAATATCATCAGTCTTTTTACATGAACACCCAGTTACCATATGACACAATGAATACCAATTGTCCAAACAATTTAATATTATCTTTTGTCTTATAGCCATTTTTTTATTGCAGTTTTTCATCATGCTAATTACCTGTCATCCATTGTGCCTGAATCTTGGTAAGAACAGTTTTATTTATATTTTGTCTTTATTGAATAATTATTACATGATATCCTGGTTCTGCACCAAAAATATGAATCTCTAAAACAACAGTTGGCAATCTACAACCCCCGGGCCAAATTTGTGGTGCGAGGCCTTGTTATCCGGCCGATTAGACCACCAGAAAATTTACGAGTAATTTTATCACTAAATGAAATAAAAGAATCAAAATTGTTGGGCCCAAAATCTAAACAGGCATTACTCTTTGTAGGATCAATAATCTTTGTAGGTCTATTTATAGCTTGCAGTGTCACTCAATGACGTAGATGCCTAGTTGCCTAATTGGCATCACTTGACTTGGGCCTACTTTCATTTTACGTTATTGTTTGATTTGTTAACATGTTTTGATTTTTATCTGAATAATAACTGGAGCTGAATAAAAAGCGCAGTAAAAGTGCTTTGTTCCGTATTACTTTATTCATAAAACAGCATTTCATAATCCTTGTTTGGTCCTCGCTTTGTTCCAGACTTTGGTGTTTTGTCCTTCCCCTAGAAAGTTTGCCTGCCACTGCTCTAAAGAATAAAATTCTATTATTTCTTACCAGTCAGAATTACATGTAGTATTATTCACATGTTACTCAATGATCTGACTGACATTCTGCCTACCTAACAATATTGTCTTGGGTCATTTCTATTGAAATAAATCTTCTGTTCACTTTCTATCTGGTCAAAGTTGAAATGTACATGTTTACCCCGATAGGGCACTGTCGCACTGTATGACTAGAATAACAAATAACAAATATTACACAATTTAGGAAGGTCTATCATTTAGTCAACTGGCGTGGTTTCGAATCTCCAGTTGTATGTGACAAGGAGTAGGGTCGCCTGTCCAACCGGGGGGTTTTCATAGGTTTCCTCACACTGCTACAGTAAATACACCTACGCGCAAGCGAATTACTGAAATAAAATTGAACCATATGATAGTCTTGAAATGACCTAGTTTGTGTCAAGTGGACTTTAAACCCCATCTCTCTCTCTCTCTGTCCCTCTCTCTCTACTTGTGAAATCTGAGACTGTCCTTTTGTGTTCAATACACATATAAATCAGCTGTCTCCAATATGAATTAATTTCTTAGGTTACAGTAATTCTGAAATATTTTATTTATTTTTAGTATGCTGATAGTGGTTGGTACTATTTTAGGAGCAATATTCCAGTGAGTTTAACCGAGTCTCTGTGGCTCATTTCTATAAAATACTAACTTGGATAATTTTCTGACATTTTATTAGATATTCTATGTTCCCAATATCACGATTCATGCTATGATTGAAATTGTGGTTTTAATGGTGGAGTAATCATTGTGATCCTATCAGGTTTTATAATATATTGTGGTCAGTCGTATTGAAACGTATCCGAACGTATCTTCACGTACCAGATCGTGCACTCAATAGAGACAATCTTATCTTGATGCATCGCACGACAGTGGGAACCTAACTTAAAGATACATTATGGGAAATTTTTACAGAGAATTGGCCATTCTTGCTATAACAGTTCAAAATTAGATGATGAAAGAAGAATATTTTGAAAATTCCAGTCAAATTACTTTATTCTGAACATAGTTATCATCGTTGTAATATTTGACTAGAAATGGTAGTAAAATGTGCCTATACCGTAACTGATCGTTTGATTGACAGGCGTTAACTCCACCTACATATCTCGATTATCAAGTAAAGTTTTCAATGGCATGCGGAAATGCTCTACAGCGGCCTCGCTAAGTAGACTCTATCATTTAGCCTCGATCTAACTGACGTATTCTCATCAGGATGCGCCATATTTGAATTAATTGATAGTGAAATCCTATTTAAATCCGAGCTGTAGCCGAGCCATCCGTGGGTCTACAGAGTTGATTTTGGGCTTGTTGTTTAAATAAAGATCTTATTTATAATTTCTATAACATCTGAAGCCTAAATTAAGACTTGCAATAATCAGATTTTGCTCTTGCATAATGTATGTTTAAAGAATTAATATTTCAAAAGTAGTGATAATATGGTATAAAAGAGCTAAAGGGTCTGTAACGGGGATTTTTGGGATCATGCATAACTCATCAGATGAACCCCATTTAAATCAAAGAGGCTTAGCTCCTCTAAACTCTAATATGTAAATTTTTGATCAGTCCCTTTGATGTCAGTCAGTCTGGAATGTAACTATGACAACCAAAAAACCCCACAGGATCCAGAAACTGTCGACTGCAGTATTCTGATTGCTTCGCAGTGTTGAGTAGAGATCGTGCACAATATGAGAGTTTGTACAACTTTTTATTTCAGTTTCACTGGAGCTTCAGCTGATCTTCCTCCATTTTTTGAGCCACATCAGTTCTTTATGTTTTTACTACCTCCGTAAGTTTTATTTCTCTTTATTTATGTGTTTATAAACTATGACTTGTTTATATATGCCACAATCTGATTAAAATACAGATCTATATTTCGTTTCGTTTTTTATACTTTCGATCACCTACACCACAGTTCCGGGCAAAAAAGGTCAAACACACGATTCGACAGACCATTTGATTGGCTGACCCCTCATTTCAAGCAGAACACAAGTTAAATAACATGTCTTCCAGATCCAAGTGTAGTAAAGACATGTAAAACAAAATTTTGATCTTTCTACCTACAGATCCGAGTGGTTTACTGATTCTTTTTCAATTTCATCGTGACAAGGAGTAGGGTCGCCTGACCAACCTTGTGCGTTTTCTCCAGGTCCTCCGGTTTCCTCCCACTGCTAATTGAACCATATGTTAGTCCCGAAATGACCTGTAATTATCAGTGGGTAAATGGGAACTAAATCAGGCCTACACAGTCATAATCTGGTTCTATCTCTGTCTCTCTCTGTGTCTCTCTCAATTTCACAGGATTGTTTATTGGGTCCTAATTCAAATTTGGATTGCATATCACAGAGTTATTCCCCCCAAACCTGTATTTATGCTCAAATTTATGAAATCTTGTGAAAGTGACTCAAAGCCTGACAGAATTTTTTTAAAACTCGATGGGATTGTTTAAATTTTGAAAATGAAATGAAATGGGGTTTAACATCCTACTGTTCTGCTCCGACTGGGCTAATGAAGATGGGCATACGCCTTACAGTGTGCTGTGAGGGAAATTTAGCCCAGACAGGCAACCTATGGCCTACTCTTATATCGAATTAAAATTGCCAAGAGATCTTTTACGTACATGCCAATGTATACACGGGACCTTGGTGTTTTGTCCCATCCGAACGACTAGACATCTGTCCTTGTCAGGCCCTCCGTCCTGCACCACTGACAAGGGGAAACCACGTCGGAAAATCCCAGTGAACTTTCTCGGCCACTCGATGGATCGAACACGCGACCTCCAGACTAGCGGGCCAGCGCCATATCTACTTGTCCACTGTGGCTCCTGTTCAAAATTTTGAACAATATTAGGGGGTCTAATTAGGCCTTCATCTATGTTTTTTGTTAGTTGTGCTTTCACATTGTGTCAAAAAATATTTTTCAGAATCATCCTTGAATCAGCTTTCAGTTTACATGACAGAACATTTGCTGAAAATCTAGGAAGTGTTTTATTGTTTGCTGTTGTTGTAAGTGATTTGTACATCTCTTAGACATGTTCCCGTTAGCAAGGGGTAACCATTAGGGTTAAAGACATGTTCCTGTTAGCAAGTGGTGACCATTAGAGATACATGCCCCTGTTAGCAAGTTGTGACCGTTAAGAGTTACATGCCCCTGTTAGCAAGTGGTGACCATTAGGGTTACATGCTCCTGTTAGCAAGTGGTGACCATTAGAGTTACATGCCCCTGTTAGCAAGTGGTGACCATTAGGATTAAAGACATGCGCCTGTCAGTAAGGGTTGACCATTAGGGTTAAAGACCTGCTCCTTCAAACATAATTTAACAAAACTTATTGTTACCAGAATGTTTGAAAATGACTAGGAAAATAAAATTAGTGACACAAATTGCATAAGCCCACAATAAATTTGACAAGTATGTACACTGCACTTGTTAGTTGTCCTTTTCGTTCAATATTTAGATTGTTTATCCTCTACCAGACTGGTTGGAGCTTAACCGTGCAATAGCTAGACATGTTCAATGTTATTGCACTTTTGCTGGTTTACACTAGTTTTAGTAGAAATCATATAGAGAAGTGGGGTGGGTTTTCTGTGCAATAACAACGTGCATGTTGGGCAGGTGTCAGTGTTACAAGTCATTTATAGCATGCTTCATTCATTAACAGGTTGAACACCTCAGCCTATGACCACTATGGTTTAACCTGTGAACGCATGATAACCATGCTATAAATATAACATAACGCTACATTTTATTCATATGATAATTACTCATATTCAAGGAATCCATGAATAATTCACTTCTGTTATTATTTCAGGGTACCATCTTAGCTTGTTTTATGTTAGGTAGGTAAAGTTACTTCATATCAGACAGGTATAAAAATATAGTCTCGGTCACCCAGAACCTCCTAGTCTTCAACGTATGGAGGGTATTTGTCCGTTGTCAATACTTGACGAAGAGTTTCATTGCCCGTGCGTAACCAGGAGTTTTGTCTTTTATGTGGTTGATTATCCAGTATCTTTGGCCAAGTCAAGTAAGAGTTATGCCCCTTCCCACAATAAATCCCATAATATTTGCATTAATATAAACAAACATGAATCGTGATGACGAATTAGGATTTATTAAAAAAAAATACCCATAGATACGGCCCATGAAAAGAGAAATTTTGGAAGAGGTTGATTACTGGAGAACATAAATGAGTTTTTTTTACAGGAGAACATAAATGAACAGGCCTTGCCACTTGACTATTCAAAAATCACCAGCAAAGCAAAAAGAGTCTTGCTTCTAGCATACTTATTTTAACAAACTCCTCAACATTTCAATATACGGCCAACCGTTAACACACCCTAGTTTTTATAGAAGGATATGCGCATGAAATATTTCATTGGGGTGTAGTTCAATATCCATTGAAACATGAGTCTTAAAGACAACAACATCATATAGTTCTCAGATGTTCTAGAAAATGTTTTATGAGAGGTTAATTCAGGAGATCGTAAATATTTGTTAGCTCATGATCAAACTCCCCGAAAGAGCTGTCTGTCACTGTAAACCGATTATCATTTAATCTTTTGTATCTAGCACTAATTTCTTTCACATTCGTTTAATATCAAATCTTTGTTTAAAAATTCGTAAAAATCATCTAATTTGTACTTGTGTCCAATTTAAAGCTGACTGATTAATTTTGATAATGAGTGTTCAATGTCCTGACCACTGTGCAAAAAGTAATCATTATACATCAATAATCAATTGGGTTGGTTTTTTTTTAGCATTGATCGAAAAATTAAACGCTTGTAAATTGGATACTTATTAATTGGACACTTATTATCAAAATTGAATGGTTAGCTTTAAACTGGACACAAGTACAAATTAGATGATTTTTACGATAATTTTTAAACAAAGATTTAACATTAAACGAATGTTAAAGAAATTGATGCCAAATACAATATATGGTATCAGATGTTTTTGAAAATGTTAATTTATAATTTTATGATTTATTATTAGGTGGTACGTTATATGGTTTAGCTCAATGTGGTGCTATGGGTAGTATACAGGAAATAACATTTGTACAGATGTTGGTCTTTACTTCGTTAATAGTAGCTGTTGATCCTGTTGCTGTATGTTACTTTTGCTTTTATTATTCTTCTGCTAGTTGTGCAGGTAGCGAAGGGGGGGGGGGAGGTAGCACGTGCTCTCTGTATCATAAGGTCCGTCATTGGGTCAGTATTTATTGTTGATGTATAATGTCGTCATCTACATCCTGTGCCCGGATACATTTTCTTCTGATATTTCTACGGGGCAAAGTGGTTTACTGACTCTTTCAATTTCACAGGGGGGGGGGGGGGGATGGCCGAATGGCTAGCGTGTGCGCGTTGTATCACAATGTCTGTCATTGAGTCAACTGGTGTGGTTTCGATTCCCCGGTTGTACATGACAAAGTGTCAAGGAGTAGGGTCACCTGTCCAACCTCATGGGTTTCCTCTGGGTCCTCCAGTTTCCTCCCACTGCTAAAGACCCCTACGTGCAAGCGAATTATTGAAAGAAAATTGAACCATGTGTTAGTCCCCAAACGACCTAGTTTGTGTTGAGTGGATGTTAAACCCCATTTTTCTCTCTCTGGACTCTTAACTTAAATCTCCCGTCATTGGCTGAGAAGTACTGACTAAATTTGAAGACAGGTCTAGAAAGTGCCTTAGCAATTGGATAGGACAAAAACTTGGTTTAACCATGTACACATTGATGCACATTCATGATGGGATTTCAAATTTGTTTTTTTTGTCAGACATTTTTACAGAAAATAAAGGGACATAACTCTTATCGCTTTACAATATCTGGACATTGCTAGATTACTTCACAATTCCTGAACTTATAGCTACTTTATCTGCAGACAGATGAACAGTGGCATCCAATCAGAGATTGTGAGATAGCGATTGCCACGGAAACCTTGACATAAACAAACCTAGAATTTTGCAACTTGGTTACCACAGGTAGATACAAGCTAGGCATGTATCCAATCGAAATTAGTGCCGAAATATGCAGGGTATTACGTGAAGGCCTTGATAAGATGTACGTAGTTAAAGCTACAGCTTTTTGTTGATCTTTGAATTAATATGAAAACTGTCACTAGGCTATTACTAGTCGTTTGTGCAGTGATTCTGATTTTCTTTGTTGCAGGTTTTGGCTGTTTTTCAAGAAATTGGTGTAAATCATGTTTTGTATTTTCTAGTATTTGGAGAATCATTATTAAATGGTGAGATAAAGATACTTCATCTATATATATATTTGTGACTGTCGTTTGTCTGTCTGTCTGTTCTGTGTTGATGGCTACACTAGGGCTGTCATGAGGCTGGAATTTAGTTTATAGGGGTAGCTTGGACTGGGGAGTAATATAGGCTAAATGGCTTGGCCTGCCTGCCAGTTTCAGAGTTACGGGCACAACCTAGGCAGCACCGGGTTATCCACTAGTATAAAATATAGTGAATAACAATAACTAAGTAATGAATGATCAGAGACAAGCAACTAATTACCTTGAAGGACACCTGATCCATGAATTAACTTGAGATTTGATGTATTCTTTGAATGGCATTTAATAATTCGTACTTAGTCAAAAAAAACCCACTTATTTATGGATAACAGTTACTAGGGTTTATTTCAATACCACCTTTCAACAAGATTTCACAAGTCGTTATCAAGCATATAACACAAAATGGAGATTTGATGATTGGGCTGTCATCACTCCATGGCATTAAGAAAGTCAAGCTTATTTATGCCAAAAATGAATTAGATTTACCAGAGCTATTGCTAATATTCCTACCTTATAGAAATCATCAGATTTAATACTTGTGAGCAAATTTCAGAAATTGGTATATATATGTATGTAAACTGTCTGGTCCATTTGTTTCAAAAGAATCTCAATACTTTACCTAATAATATCAATCTGAATAAAACACAGATCCTATTTCGTTTCAATTTTTATAGTTCAAAATTTTGTTTTACTAGTCTTCACAACACTAGGATCTGGAAGAGTTGTTGTATAACACATGTTCTGCATGATGAGAGGGATTAGCCAATGAAACAGTCTGTTACGGCAAGTTCTTGGCGTGCTCTGCCCGGAACTGTGGGTAAAGCCCTAGAAACGCCAACGCTGATTGATTAATCAATGTCTGACCTCATAGGGTCAAAAACCGCTCGTACGACCCCTGACGCAAACTTCCAGTACAACTGGTCAGATCTTCATATAGTGTAGGCCATCAAAAGTATAAAAAAACCGAACCGAACTATAGATCTGTATTTTAATCCGATTGATCTAATGATTAAATATGTATTTTATCAGATGGAGTAACTGTTGTATTATATCATGTCATGCAGGCGTATAATTTAATGGATGAGATAACAGCAGAACAGGTATGGATCTTCTATATATATATATATATATATATATATCTTGCTTATTTTCTGATTAAATGACACTCGTTCTTTGATGTTGGTTTAGGTATAGCTGTTTTGTGTTCCTGTGTGTTTATGTGAACTGCAATCTTTATGAATTCTTTTCAAATTGACAGGAATTTTTCATTGGGTCCTAATTTATGAAATCTTATGAAAGCAATACAGAACAGAATTTTTATACACATCATCAAGCCTGGAAATAAGGCACCTGTCACAGACAATGTCAGGCACAGATTCAGGCTTTATCTGGTGCCTGTTATTTTGTCCAGCTCTGACTTGTCTTTTCTATTGATATTATTAATACATGTCTGGAACTAAGTTGAAAATGTCCGGTACTATTTCATTAGTGCATGACATTTTGTCAGGTAAATCTAAAACCGTTATTTCCAGGCTTCATTTAAAGTAGCTAAGTCTGTAACTCAGTATCATCCAAAGTGTTCGACATTGAAAACACAAATTATTTGTCAATTTAAATCAACATAATGCGTTTCAGCGCCATTTGTAACAAGGGACTCGAAGAACGAGGCTAGACATATTCCACAAGTCATGCCAAACGGTGACTGCATATTCTTATCTGGAGAGCATACACAATAAATACTATCGATGTAGACTGGAATAACCAGATGCTAGAAATTGCCATTTCATTGAGACTTCTGGCGTATTTCGCCAAACATACCTGATCAGAAATTGCAGTAAAAACAGTAACGATGGAATGTAAATCAGTTATACACATTCATAAGAAACACTTCACGTGTAATGAAGCGCTTTATAAATCGAACAATAATAATAATTATTATATGCGTTACGACCCATTTGAGTCAATTTCTGGGTCCCAAATATTAGCGATTTAGCTCCTTTAATGTGAATGTATATTAGGGCTCACACTGGCTTTCAATTTTTTCCACCAAAATGGATAATAATTTTTATATATAAAAAAAATATTTTATCTGCCAAAATTGTGTGACTCGTTTTTACGTTTACGAACCATGGTGATAATATAATTTGAAATAATAATATCCAATTTGTCATGCTTGTATATTTTACATGTCATATTAAGCCACAGTAAACAGAATTCAACTATTAAAATATTTAATTCTCTTCAAAGACAATTGTCGACCATTTTGATCATTTCCCTTTATTTTTTAAGATGAATCGATAATTAGCTTGGATAAATTATTAAGAGTAAATAACAATCTGGTTAAAACAAAGATCCTATTTCGTTTCGTTTTTATAGTTCAAAATTTCGTTTTACTTGTCTTTACTACACTTGGGTCTGAAAGAGTTGTTATTTAACTCATGTTCTGAATGGTGTCCGAGATAAGCCAATGAAACGGTCTGTTACTGCGAGCTTTAGGTGTATTTTTCACGGAACTGTGGGTAATCCACTAGTAACATCAATGCTGATTGGTTAATCAAATGTCTGACGTCATAGGGTCATAAGTCGGTCTTTTGACCCCTGACATGATCTATCGCAATAACTTGTCAGATCTTCATGTAGTGTAGGCCATCGAAAGTATAAAAAAACGAAACGAAATATAGATCTGTATTGTAATCAGATTGGAGTAAATAATAACTTGAAATCGGCTTTATCATTGGTATCATTGGTAATTATCAATCAATTAATCATTAATCGAAGACAACTGATTAGTATTACTCATTGACACGATCCGGATTATTAGCTTGCCGCCACATGATTTTGTTTGACACTCAACATAATGGTCAATCTAGGATAACTTGCAATTAGATTTTTAACATATTGCCAAATTTATCACCAAAATCAAATTTTAATCACCCCTTTCATTTTTTTTATCACAAATTGTGACTTTGCCGACCAACAGCGTGAGCCTAAATGTATATTGTTGATGATGCCCCCTGCGTCTGTCAGTCATTTTAGAGTTATCTCCCCATTTGTATGAAAGCTTGTGAACTCCGTGAGCATATGTAAGAATCCTAATGAATTTCAAAATTCTCAAATGATAAATTTTTAATGCATTTCTCCAAGATACTTTTCCGTTTACATTTTTGCTTTTGAAGCATAGGTTGGATTTCAAAATAACGGCGACAGACAACGAACACTGTCACGGTAACATGCATAGTGTGTAGAACCTATCTATATGAAATTCATTATTTCTGTTATCTGCTATCATATTATCTGTTTCAATAAAATTAGAGAAAACAGATTGGTGTTGATCTTTTTTTAACCATGATTCCAAATTTAATCCATACAATAATTCCATTTTAATCCATACAGAAATCAAAGTGCCGCAGGTCCCAAAACATGTGCCAATCCGCATGTTATATAACGAGAATAAATATAAATCGTAAATTAAATAACACTACCCATTGCGCCGTATTCTGCAGACTACGGCGGTAATCGAAATAGCCGACAAATATTCCTATTGTTGAATGCCATCTATTATTGTTTAAAAACATTTCCCGATTCGAGAATATTAGTAAATAATTAATTAATAATTTATAAGCGACGATACTCACTAACAATACTCGCCAGAAATTTATATAGTTAACGATTTCACGCTCTACTGGCGTCGGATCCAGTTACTGACGCACATCAAAGATAACTGGCGGTTTCACTCTGATAGTGACGTAGACCTCAAATAGTGACGGTTTCTTAATTAGTCACGCTTTTGTCAATTTCTCCCGCACGCGCCTGACTAGTGATATGATCGGCTTAACTCACGTTTGTTTAATTACTCACGTTATTTTTACATACTGACGCAAGTAAGGAATACTAACCAATTGACATAAATACTCACCTTATGATTATTACTGACCATTTAGAGGAATACTGACGTACGGTAAACTTACTGACGGGTTTAAGCGACTACTGACAACACGTATATTTCTCACGAATTTCCATGAATAGTAACCACAATGAACCCTTTCTACTTCATACATAGATATTCTAACACATAGGCCAGTTAATCAATACTTAGAGATAGGTTCTACACATTATGCACCCAGCAGTGTGTCTTCCCTAGTATTCCGCCATAGCTGTCCCACAGTGCAACCGTAAAGTTATTAAAAAGATGTACAACGCATAACTGTATAAAGCAATACCCACAGTACAACTTTGCTGCTGGTGTGTGTAATAGGATGCCTGAAAAGTGTCTGTGTGTCCTCTAATGTTAAACAAAGCTTTTGAACAAATTCTCCCAGCTTTTAATAGTCTGACTACTGAGTGGTTATTTTTGAAAACGATTGCTTTATCAATTGTTTTATTAAAGATCATACTTGGTGTGCTCAAGTTTTTTGTGGTGTGTTTTGGTGGATTGGCTTTGGGTGTGATCTTTGGTCTTTTATCAGCTGTCCTTACCAGATTTTCTTTGCAGGTCAAAGGTTAGATATTTGAATGAATTAGTCCATCTCCATGAATCTATTTTAATAAAACTTTAAGCTTTCCTAATATTAACTGTACTAATAAAGGGCGGGAAAGAAGACAAAATTCCCCATAAACAACCCCCCCCCCCCTCCACTTTAAAGATGGTTAAAACATAGCTTGCCATACAGAAGTTTATTTTTTGACTTTGGTCAAATTTAAAGAGAGATGGATGCTTAAAGATACATTATGTAAGATTTAGATAAAGAATTAGCCATTCTTGCTGTAATAGTTTGAAAGTAGATGATGTAAAATGAATAATTTGAAAATTATTCTATTGCAAGCGAAGATATTAGCCTTTGAAGGTTTGACAGACGTGTGCAATAATTTCAACCACCGTACTGGTTGATCGAAGCTAAATCTCTGTCCTCCATATTTGATTAAATCAAAGTATCGCTGAACCATTCTAATCTATTTAATATCGGAGAAATGTGATGCCATCGAGAGTTGATTAAGGCCTGGATCAGTTAATTAATGTCTAATTAATACTTTAGAATACATTTCAGGCCTAAATAAAGACCTGCAATAGGTCGATTTAGCTCTTGCATAATGTATGTTTAATTTATCATCGTTTGATCATAAATTTTTCACTTATACAATAAGTAGGGGGGGGGGGGCGGTTGGATGGCGAATGGTTAGCATGTGTGCCTTATATCACAAGGTCTGTCATTGAGTCAACTGGCGTGGTTTCGATTCCCCGGTTGTACTTGACAAGGATTAGGGTCGCCTGTCCAACCTTATAGGTTTTCTCCGGGTCCTCTTTTGAAAGGTTTAGATTTTTTGAGACATTTACTCGGCCATCTCTAAAAGGTTTAAGGTATTATTATGTTTTGGCCACAGGCCCAAAACACGCTTTTTTAAAAAATGTTATAACTTGACTTTAATTTGATTTTTTCTGAGTCGACTCATTTACATAGTAGCTTAGATTCATATACTTGTATTTCAGTTGTCCAACCAATTATTATATATGGAATGGCTTACATGGGTTTTATGATGGCAGAACTCTTTGAGTTTTCAGGAATTATAAGGTCAGTCTTGAATTTATGTGAAAGGAAATGGGGTGTAACATCCTGATTTTATGAAATGGTTGAGTAGTCAGTATCAATAATATGTATGAAATCAGTGTGTATCAGTTCGTGCACTAGATCTTTAAATACAGATTTAAACATGAAGTGTCAGAATATGCAATTCAAATCTAGCTTTGTTTGTTTTATTTTAGGAAAACATCAAGAATTATTATTTTTTCTAGTATAATTGGAATATATTTTATATATTTTGTATTTTTCTAGTATAATAGGAATATATTTTATATAATTCATATGTTTTGTATTTTTCTAGTATAATTGGAATATATTTTATATATTTTTCTAGTATAATTGGAATATATTTTATATATTTTTCTAGTATAATTGGAATATATTTTATATATTTTGTATTTTTCTAGTATAATTGGATGTGGTTTGGTTCAAGTTCAATACGCCTTCCATAATATCAGCGATAAATCACGAATAACAATTAAATATTTTACTAAAGTTATCAGGTACTATTCAAATATATTTCATCATTACCTCAGGATTTTAACGATATGTGAGCTGCTCGCTCAAAACCAGGCTCTTGATCATTTTATAAAAATAGAACTGACAGCATATTTGAATAGTCCACAGTCTAAGCTTTTCAAAAATGCAATTGTTTTTAAATTTGTCGTATCATCTGGAGTTGAGTTCGGCTCACTCACAGCAACAAAAAGGCATACAGTTTATGCTTTTGTGCATGTAGTACAAAATGAAGTTGTGCGACAGACGCTTGGTTTCGTGTGAGTGGGTGACATATGTAGTATTTAACTCTTAAGTGACCTAGAGGTTTGACGTCATAACGTCATAAAAACCATGTGATGATGGTAATCAGTGATTAGGAGAACATGTGTAGGCCTAGACAATATCACTGCTTTATTAAGGACTGTCAAAATGTAAAACAAGAAGTGAACAGCCGAGTGAAAATCGTCTGTTTGTAAGGAGAACAACTCTCATTACACTAGGAACGTTGCATGCGGCTAATCGGTTTTGTGAGTTTTGCGTTACAGACTGTTTCATCCCCTAATACTAGAACGCAGGTTATATAACAACTCTTCCAGATAGTAGTGTAGTAAAGACAAGTAAAACGAAATTTTGAACTATAAAAACGAAACGAAATAGTATCTGTGTTTTAATAAGTTTGATATTTAACTACATGTATAATAATCTTGTTTTGCAGTTCTTTGAGTGAAATTATTATATTTCTGTTCTTGGGCTTGGCGTTTGTACGACAGTCTCTAGAATGGCATACAGGTTTTATTCTGTGGACGGTTCTATTATGTCTGGTTTTTAGATTTATCAGTAAGTTTTCAACTTTATACTTACGCGATATGGATCGAAATTGTAAATTACCCAGGGGGTTGGATGGCCGAATGGTTAGCGTGCGCGTTCTGTATCATAAAGTCTGTCATTGAGTTGACTGGCGTGGTTTCGAATCCCCGGTTGTACGTGACAAGGAGTAGGGTCGCCTGTCCAACCTCGTGGGTTTTCTCTGGGTCCTCGGTTTCCTCCCACTGCTAAAGACCCCTATGCGCAAGCGAATTATAGAAATATAATTAAACCATATGTTAGTCCCGAAATGACCTTGTAAATTACCTTGTCAGTTTTGCTCATAGTTTTCGTCATAGGTCACAGGATGTAAAAAGGGCTAGCTCTAATCCTAACCCTGGACCTAGCCCCAATGCTTACCCCAACCCTAACCTATGATCTCGCCAACAATTACGTGTCCTAACATTATTTACATCTCAGCGACCTTGACAAAACTTGAGCTGGCCTTATCATTTAGCACTAACCATTTTTAAATTGTGTTGTATTTTCAGTAACTTTTGGAATGTCATTTTTTATCAACAAATTTGATACGTATCGCGTCAGAAAGATAGGATTAGATGAACAGTTTATGATAGTAAGTCTTTTCTACACCCTTATTTGGGGGGTCACGGTGGCTAAGTGTGTAAGATGCTGGCTCGCTAGCCTGGAGGTCGGGTGTTCGATCCCTGCAAAGGCCGAGAAAGTTCACCAAGATTTTTCGGCATGGTAAGCCAATGTCAGTGATGCAGGACGGAGGGCCTGACAAGGACAGCTGTCTAGTCATTCGGATGAGACGAAAAACCGAGGTCCCGTGTACACATAAGATGGCATCCAGAGTTGATTAAGGTCTTTTCATGTTAATAAATGTCTAATTAATAGTTTATATAACATTTCAGGCCCTAAAGAAAGACCTGCAATGGTCATATTTAGCTCTTGCATAATGCATGTTTGAAATCTCCATTTTTTATTTTTAGGCTTATGGTGGATTACGAGGAGCTGTCTGTTTCTCTCTTGTGGCTCTCCTCAATCCCAAGGACATTCCCATGAAAAATTTATTTGAGACGGCAACGTTAGCTGTTATTGTGTTCACAGGCTTTGTACAGGTAGGCATGTTATTGACAGGGCCCTGTTTCACGAAATTTTAACTAAAGATAAAATCCAAATTTTAGTAGATACTTCAATTTTGATTGGCTAACCACTAAAATCAATCTAATATTATCCAATCAAATTACTAAAATTTGGATTTTATCTTAGTTAAAATTTCGTGAAACAGGCCCCAGGTTTTTTACAGGTAGGCATGTTATTGACAGGCTTTGACCAGGTAGGCATGTTATTGACAGAGAAATTCCTTCAAGTAGAATTTGGGTAATCGACCATTAAACTTTAATCTATCCAAACACTGGATATTTCTTGTGTTGTCGCCCCTGTCCTCCGGACGTCCGGACGTTCACAATTTGTTTGTGGATACTCTACAGGTCACAATTCTCATCCGATGTTGAGGAAACTTGAAATATAGGTTTATCTCCAAAAGTTCTTGGTTCCTTTCGATATTGGCATGTATCGGATCAAAACTTCATGGATTATAGCCCCTGATTGTACGAAAAATCACGTTTTTAGCTTGTGGACACTCTTAGAGCTCAAAATTTTTATCTGATTTTTATGAAACTTAAAATATATGTTTATATCCAAACGATCTCAGTTCCTTACGATATACGTGCATATCGGACCGTAACTTCCTGGATTATGGCCCCTGATTGTACAAAAAAATCACATTTTTCTTTAGCTTGTTCTCTGTCTTTCTCTCGCAAATTGTGGGCATATCTTGTCTGGCAACCACTGGTTGATGAATGAAATATTTCACTAGCCAATTCAGAAATATTGTTCCGTCTGTCAAACATCTACATAGTTGAGTTTTTGGTTGATCATCCTACATTAGAGTAAACACAGTTAATTTATTTTACGTAATAAGGGGGGGGGCTGAATTGCTGAATGGTTAGCATTTGCGCGTTATATCACAAGTTCTGTCATTGAGTTAACTGGCGTAGTTTCGATTCCCCAGTTGTAAGTGACAAGGAGTAGGGTCGCCTGTTCAACCTTGTGGGATTTCTCTGGGTCCACCGCCCCCCCCTACCCCAAATACCCCTATGCGCAAGCGAATTATGGAAATAAAATTGAACCTTGTTAGTCCCGAAACAGGAATTTGTTTTGGCGGGACAACACTGTTGTAGCTTGTATTAGTTGTGTTAAGATTCTGTTCTTTTTTTTTTAAAGGGAATCTCAATCAAACCTCTGGTGAATTTACTACAGATTCGATTGGCGCCACAGAAGAATATAAGCATGTATCAAGAACTCAATCAACATGTAAGATCAATGTTATTCATAATATAATTAGTGGTTACATTGTACTGTAACTCAGGTATCATTTAATCTTGTGTATCTAGCACTAATTTTTTCACATTTGTTTAATATCAAATCTTTGTTTAAAAATTCGTAAAAAATCGTTTAAAATTACCATAAATCATCTAATTTGTACTTGTGTCCAGTTTAAAGCTGCAACCATTCAATTTTGATAAAGAGTGTCCAATTTACAAGTGTTTAAAATTTCTCAATTTTTCAATATTTGTAGATAACAGATCATGTAATGGCAGGTATTGAAGATGTTATTGGATTTCATGGCAAATACTACTTAAAGGTAATGATGATTTATTGTTCCCCACCTCCATCCGTCGTCGTCCGTCCATCCGTCCGTTTAAACTTGACATGGATGAATATTTTGACTGAGTTTAATGATTAACATTTACCACTAAAGCTAAGCAGAGCTAAGCAGTTTCATTGGTCGATGCTTTGAGACAAGATAACTTTGATTCTAACTGATGGAGAGTGATAAAACTTAGTGTACTTCGAAACATTGGCTGAGTTTGATCGTGAACATTTTCTGCTTAGATAATCAGTATGATTACTCAATACTCTTGAAAAAGATAAATGTGCAATTAATCAATATGTGTCATCTATTTATTTTGGGATTTCGGTGGGGGGACATCTGCCTTACTGTTGATGATGGGTTAGTTGTATTTTACGTCCGCTTCCACCGAGGTGATATCGCAGCCTTACTGTTGGCTTGCTTTTATTTATATTTGGTATGAAGTCTTAAAGCTGTAGTCAGGGATTACGGTGGTTAAGATGCAGGCTCGCTAGCCTGGAGGTTGGGTGTTCGATCTCAGCATTGGCCGAGAAAGTTCAACAAGATTTTCCTGCGTGGTTCCCCCTTGTCAGTTGTGATGGAGGCCTTGACAAGTATAGCTGTCTAGTCATTCGGATGGGACAAAAAACCGAGGTGTGAGGGATTAGTCATTGAAACCATTTGTTACGACTTCTTGGCGTGCTGTGCACGAAATTGTGGGTAAACCACTAGAAATGTCAACGCTGATTGATTAATCAATGTCTGACGTCATAGGGTCAAAAGCCATTTTTACGACCTCTGACATGACCTTCCACTACAACTAGTCAGATCTTCATGTAGTGTAGGCCATCGAAAGTATAAAAAACAAAACGAAATATAGATCTGTATTTGAATCAGATTGCCGAATTGCGAGAGGAGTTGAAATAAAATAAATGCTAAACTATCTGGTCGAAAGAAAGAATTGATAGAGCTGTGAGTCATTTTGACATTTTATTTCCAATCTTTCGGATCAGTAATTGGCATCTTTATAAAGGTGGTATTATTTGTTATTTTCCAGGAAAAGATTGAACATATTGACGATAAATACCTCAAGAGATATTTTGTACAGAAACCCATGAAAAAATCTGATTCTTCCATGATAAATTTCTACGAAAAAATAATGTTAAAGTATGTAGACATCTTTGTTTATTTATAAATATTTCTGTTCTTCTAAAAAAAGGAATAAATATCATACTGTCTGGGACATAAGCTCTTTGAAGGTCTTTGTTAGTTGGTGCATCATAAGGTTTGTCATTGAGTCAACAGGCGTGGTTTCGATTCCCCGGTTGTTAGTGACAAGGGGTAGCGTCGCCTGTCCAACCTTATGGGTTTTCTTCGGTTTCCTCCCACTTCTAAAGACCCCTACGCGCAAGCGAATTATTGAAATAAAATTGAACCACATGATCTAGTTTGTGTCGAGTGGATGGTAAACCCCATTTCTCTCTCTCTCTCTCTCTGTGTCTTTCTCTCCTAAACTTAGTCCCACATGGTCGCACCATATTTCCTTCCTAGTTGTACTTGGTATTATTGTTACCTGTTACATGAGTCTCCATGGTAATCAGCCATTTCATCATCCCAACCATTACATCATCATCCCATCAGCATGTTGTTTAGGTACAGAATGAACGAGTCTTAATCTTAATTGAATGTATTCCTGTTTGATTAAACATCATCTAACTTGGCCATATTACATGGTTGACGAAAATCCAAGAATTAGCTGGGGGGGTTGGATGGCTGAATGGTTAGCACGTGTGCGCTGCGCTGTATCATACGGTCTGTCATTGAGTCAACTGGCGGGGTTTCGATTCCCCGGTTGTACGTGACAATGGGTAGGGTCACCGGTCCAACCTCATGGGTTTTCTCCGGGTCCTCCGGTTTCCTCCCACTGCTAAAGACCCCTACGCGCAAGCAAATTATTGTGTTAGTCCCGAAATGACCTAGTTTGTGTCGAGTGGACGTTAAACCCCATTTCTCTCTCTCTCTCTCCAAGAATTAGCCCAACAAAACCTAACAGAGCATGTGTTTTATACTAGTTATGATTTTAAATATATATTTATACAACTATTATAACGGATATATGTTTAACAGGTGATCTTAGATTTAACAAAGAAATGCCAAATCAAATTCCAAATTGTGCCTATTTACATTATCTGACAATTTCAGATAAATTGGGGAGGGGGGATCGTCTAGTGGTATAACATGTGCACTGGTATTGAAATCACAAGGATTGTCATTGAGTCAAGAGACGTGGTTTCGATTCCCTGCTTGAACCTGACAAGGAGTAGGGCACCTGTCCAACCTTGTGGATTTTCGATATAAGAGTAGGCCGTAGTGCCTCTGCCCGGACAAAATTTCCCCCATAGCACACTGCCCAGTCAGAGCAGAACAGTAGAAAGCTAAACCCCATTTCATTTCATTTTATTTTATTTCATCTCTCATATTTCATTTTTTCCATTTTTGTTAACCTCTGTTTGTTTTCATTTGTTTACAGAGAGCATATCAAATATTTAAATTTATGTGGAGCGAAATCTGTGCCACTTGTCACAATGTAAGATATAAATAGTAACGTGTAATATATAGAGTATGCGCGCGTGTGTGTGTGTGTGCGTGTGGATACATGTTAATGCTCAAACCGGTACAAAATTTTAAAAATGTACAAAAACTTTATGATCAATTATCAGTATACAGTATAGGAGTTCTAAAAAAAATAGTTTTACTTGTAATAATCGAGTTTAAACCAATCTAATTCAGTTTGTGTTTTCTGACATATACACTTTATGGTCATTTAACTTTCTTGTACAAAATTTAACCAGATACAATCAATTTTTTTATATTACAATATTTTTAACTCTATTACAAATTGATCTTTTGGGTAATCTTGCTCTACATATACATGTAGTGTTACTGTAATCTGGGTATTATTTAATCTTGTGGATCTAGCACTAATTTCTTTCATATTCATTATCAAATCTTTGTTTAAAAATTGGTAAAAATCGTTTACAATCACCCAGAATCATCTAATTTGTACTTGTGTCTAGTTTAAAGCTGACCATTCAATTTTGATAATAAGTGTTTAAAGCATTCAATTTCTCGATCACCGTTAAAATTGATTATTGATGTATAATGATTAATTTTTTAACAGTGGTCAGGAAATTAAATACTCATAAATTCGACACTCATTATCAAAATTAATCAGTCAGCGTTAAACTGGACACAAGTACAAATTAGATGAATTTGAGTGATTTTAAATGATTTCTACAAATTTTTAAACAAAGATTTGATATTAAATGAATGTAAAAGAAATTAGTGGTAGATACACAAGATTAAATGATACCTGGGTTACAGTTATATACCTATAGTGTATTGATACATGGTTTGAGTATTATAGTATGTAGTGTACGATAGTGTTTACTAACCAGATAGTGTTTACTAACCATAGCAGAAGGAGCTTTGTATATATTCACATCTTCACTGTCTCAATCTGATTATAACACAGCTCCTATTTCGTTTCATTTTTTATAATTCAAAAATTTGTTTTACTTGTCTTTACTACACTAGAATCGGGAAGAGTTGTTATATAATCCGCAATCTGGATGGTGTGAGAGATTATAAATTAGCCAATGAAACAGTCTGTTACGGCAAGTTTTTGGCGTGAGGTGCACGGAACTGTGGGTAAACCACTAGAAACGTCAACGCTGATTGATTAATCAATGTCTGGCATCATAAGGTCAAAAGCCACTCATATGATCTCTGACACGACCTTCCAGTACAAGTTGTCAGGTCTTCATGTAGTGTAGGTCATCGAAAGTATAAAAAAAACGAAATATAGATCTGTATTTTAATCAGATTTTCACTGTATGTGCACTTCGATATGTGAATTGTAGTGATGTACTCATGTAGTGTTCACTAACTAATATGTGAATTGTAGTGATGTATTCATGTATTCACTAACTAATGTGGCAGTAGCTTGTTGTCTATATTCACATCTTCGCTTGTTTCACTGTACATAACACTTTAATTATGAATTGTAGTTATGCAGTGTTCACTAATTAATACTAAAGTAGCTTGTCGTTACTAATCTTCACTGTCTATTTAAAAGTACATCAATGTATAAATTGTTAAAAAGGTTATAAAGGAACTAAAACACTTTGATTCACGTCAAAACAACGTGTTATTTTGGGGTAATTAAATTGGATATTTCAGTCAGTTATTGGGCAACTTCCTATACCATTAAATTTTTGTATTGATAGATTGAGCAGTTTGTTAATTATAAAGGTATTATTCAAGAACTAAATCTTCCTATTACAGGTCTTTCATTAGGCCTTAAATTTTAAATGTTATATAGATTATTAATTAGACATTTATTAACTTGACAAGTAATGGTAATTAACTTTTCTGCTTTGACAATTGGAAATAGTAAGTCCTAAAATTAAACAAATCCTATTTGAGATTATATGGAAAGGGAGAGCTTGTAACACTATAACCTGGCTATCATTTAATCTTGTGTATTTAGCACTAATTTCATTCACATTCATTCAGTATCAAATCTTTGTTTAAAAATTCATAAAAATTGTTTAAAATCACCAAAAATCGTCTGATTTGTACTTGTGTCCAGTTTAAATTTGACCATTGAATTTTGATAATGAGTGTTCAATTTACATGTGTTTAATTTCTTGATCACTGTTAAAAAATAAACAACCCAATTGATTATTGATGTAAAATGATTAATTTTTTAACAGTGATCGAGAAATTAATCACTTGTAAATTGGACACTTGAGCTCATTATCAAAATTAATTTGTTTTATTAAACTAGACACAAGTACAAATTAGATGATTTTTGGTGATTTTAAACGATTTTTGTGAATCTTTAAACAAAGATTTGATATTGAATAAATGTGAAAGAAATTAGTGCTAGATACACAAGATTAAATGAATCCCAGGTTACAGTATAATCTCATCATTGTCTATCACAGACTACCTGATTATTTTGATCATAAATTCTAGAATAACCATACCTATAGCTTACTGCTGGAGTTTTTTCATCAGAAGAAAAATAAGATGACATCCTATCAGATTTCCGATATTTTTATTGCAGGTGTTTAAGCATGAAACAATGTATTGTATTTGCTTGGCTTGGCTTACACTATTAGTATAAGGCTTGTCAATGACTGTATCACATGATGCTTACACTATTAGTATAAGGCTTGTCAATGACTGTATCACATGATGCTCACACCATTAGTACAAGGCTTGTCAATGACAGTATCACATGATGCTTACACCATTAGTACAAGGCTTGTCAATGACTGTATCACATGATGCTTACACCATTAGTACAAGGCTTGTCAATGACAGTATCACATGATGCTTACACCATTAGTACAAGGCTTGTCAATGACTGTATCACATGATGCTTACACCATTAGTACAAGGCTTGTCAATGACTGTATCACATGATGCTTACACCATTAGTACAAGGCTTGTCAATGACTGTATCACATGCACACATTGATGGCGAATTGACGTCATTTATGATTGATGGGTGTGAGCTTTGAAGACCTATAACAAAATGCTTGTCGACAGTTTTAAGAGATTTGTTTAATTGTTATATTAGTAGCTATTCTCTTGTGTTCAATATTTTCCGACTAATGACACATTGTCTAGCTGTTGTATTTTTAAATGTTTGTATATAAACATGTCGTATTGTTAGTAGATTTTATTATGTAGATTTCTTTTAGTGAGAAATTTGACAGTTTCTCACATTCACAATTTAACAGTTACTTATGATACACTGTAGCCTGGGTATCATTTAATCTTGTTGTGTCACTGTAATCCAAGTATCATTTAATCTTGTGTATTTAGCTCTAATTTCTTTTACATTTGTTTAATATCAAATCTTTGTTCAAAAATCATTTAAGATAACTAAAAGTCCTCTAATTTGTACTTTTGTCCAGTTTGGAGCTGACCATTTAATTTTGATTATGAGTGTCCAATTTACAAGCGTTTAATTTCTCGATCACTGTTCAAATATAAACAACCTAATTGATTATTGATGTATAATGATTAATTATTGAAAAATGGTCAGGAAATTAAATACTTGTAAATTGGACACACATTATTAAAATTAATCAGTCAGCTTTAAACTGGACACAAGTACAAATTAGATGATTTTGGGTGATTTCAAATGATTTTTGTGAATTTTTAAATAAAGATTTGTTATTTAAACGAATGTGAAAGAATTTAGGGCTATGTACGCAAGATTAAATGATACCTGGGTTACAGTGATGCATGTTCACAATTGACAGTTTACACAGTAGTATAGTTCGCTGCAAAATCAACTATTTGTGTAAAAATAATGGATGCTTTTACTTTAAATTTGATTTGATAAGGCCATTTTTGTTCTAGTTGCCGGAGGCCTCAATAAAACAAACCGAGCTGTCGACCAATCAAAGGAAAATACATTGTAGTACTTTAAGTGTTTTCTTTGGTGTGATCTTTAATATTTTTTTTTGAGAATATGTTCATAGTAATGATGCAAAATTTTGCAGATGAAGAATTTTTTTCTGAACGTCAGCATGACTGCAAAATCGTTGGTTGTCACGAATCTTGATTCTAGATTCTATCCCGATTCAGATTCCATTTTCTATTTGACTCCTGCAGATTTTCAAACCCTGATCTTGATAAAAGAATCTTTGAATCTGCTTGCTGGTGTGTCGAAAAGATTTTCCACACACCACCAAGCAGATTCATGGATTCATGTATCTGAATTATACCATAAAATTTGAAATAACCCTGGAAATAAACAAAATGAATACTGAATCTGGAAACAATTTGAATTCACTGCAACCTAACTCAATGTTAAAACTAAAAATAGGTAACAGTAAAATTATTGAGAATGTTTATATTAATACAGATGATTAATTATTTTCTGAGAAAATGTTTATTTTAATTAAAACAAATGGTAACTATCTACATAGCAACTGACTTCCCCAATCTGATTAAAACACAGATCCTATTTCCTTTCGTTTTTTATAGTTCAAAATTTCGTTTTACTTGTCGTTACTACATTAGGATCTGGAAGAGTTGTTATATATAACCCACGTTCTTGATGATGTGAGGGGTTAGCTAATGAAACGGTCTGTTACAGCGAGTTTTTGTATTACCAGCGTTCTTGTTGAAGTGAGGGATTGGCCAATGAAACATCAACGCTGATTGGTTTATCAAATGTTTGACGTCATAGGGTCAAAAGCCGCTCATTTGACCCCTGACACGACCTTCTACTACAACTGGTCAGATCTTCATGTAGTGTAGGCCATCGAAAGTATAAAAAACGAAACGAAATATAGATCTGTATTTTAATCAGATTGTATGTACATGTACCTATTACAGAATTAAATTTAACGAATTTTATTTATTTTTTTTTTAGTCCGAAGATCGATACTCAGTTATATCTGAATCAAGATGAATTCAGTAGCGATAGTGACAGTGATTCAGATCAAGATAAAACATCTTTGAAACGTATAAGTCGTCAACTTTCTACACACGGAGATGACGGTAAATATGGTCAATATAATATTGATAGGAGACGCGGGGAGTATTTACGGAGGAAATGGCGGTTATATGCGCGATTTCTGTCAGTCAATCGAAATCCCATAGGTTAGTCAATAGGCATGTGACATGGACCGTAATTCAACCCCAATATCCCATTGGTTGATTTTCAAATTTTACTGATATTCTTTTTAACAAGTATTTGGCTATTTTTATTTTAATCGGTCTTGTATTGTTGTTTTGTTTGTACAAAATGTTTAATAATTTTCAAATTTTGCTGATATTCTTTTTAACAAGTATTTGGGCATGTTTATTTTAATTAGTCTTGTAAAATAACAGTTGTTTAATTATTTTCGTTCACATACTAAAACCAATTTCTGCTTTGCAAATTTGTAGGGGGGTTGGATGGCCGAATAGTTAGCGCAATCATGTTGTATCATAATCTCTGTCATTGAGTCGGCTGGCGTGGTTTCCTTTCCTCGGTTGTACGTGACAACCGGGTCCTCCGGTTTCCTCTCACAACTAAAGACCCCTACGCGCAAGCAAATTATGGAAATAAAATTAAACCATATGTTAGTTCCGAAATGACCTAGTCTGTGTCGAGTGGAC